TTCTGTGCAGTTCGCTATCAATCTTGTGCTTTCGCATTAACCCAACCCCTAGGGAGCTTTTACACCCGACTCCACTGCGACAGCGATACAAGTGGGTTTCTACAGCTTCGATGTATACCACAACTCTGGGATTCCCGCTAGCATTTATCCGTACTGCTGATTACTCTGCTTCACATCCTCACTTACGCTTTTTGTTGCCCGTCCATTGGACCAACAATCCAAGGCCGTATGCACCGTTGGGGCACCTTGGTCGCATATTGCTCTTAGCCTGAAAGCTGGGATTTGAATGGAGAACTTTACGCTTAAGTGTTGCATTTTGTTTCTTATGTCTACTGAAGCAATCATACCTCCGGAGGAAAAATTCTGGTGGATTGCATTCCTGGCATCACTATGTCGCGCCCCCGACGCACAATGCATTTTTCTTCAAAACCCCTGCAGGTGAAATAAAAGATTTAACGTCAAAATGCCGTACTTCTTTGCATATATGCTCAGTCCAAAAATCCCGCTTATCTGCAATCATTTTTTGCGGTTTGTTTTAATCGATCTCTTTTCTCAATTGATCTCTTTTGAAAATTATTGGCGCACATCGGCTTTCAACTTCGTGTGCTATGGCAGTGGAAGTGGTTTTCGTTGGGAAATTTGTGGATGTATCGTTTTCATTCTTCACGGCATTTGAGAAGACCTTAATCAATATGTGAAGGACAACTTTGTGGTATTTGTGCGTTCATCCGGTAATCAAAGCACCAACGCTGTTTTGCGTTACGAATGAGTGTACGACAAAAGCAGCAGGCGCCCTCCAATTCCAACAAAAAGCCGTGGAACCCGAAGAAGCTAGTAAGCCGAGCGTATTTTCTAATAAAAAATGCAAGGCCCTGCTGAAATATGGAACACCGTCATGTGAGATGCGGCAGTTTGTGTCAGATGAAGTCGGAAAGATTCTTACCACCAAGGATATACGCGACTACCACCGGAATTGTCAACCGGCTATGTTGAGTAGGTGCTGCATAGTTGGGTTTTAATGTGGCAGATGATAGGACTTCAGTCCTGGCAAAACTTCGGGAGACCGGACGCGTCCTTTTGTGTTAGCCAGAGGAAGGTCACTCTAGCCACATATGTTTCTCCTGATGGCAGCAGACAGCGTTATTCCGACGCTTTCCAGATATAGTGAATGTAAACGGAACGCATGCAACAACTCGCCTTGGGTAAATTTTTTAAAGCATCTAATATTCGGCATTTAGATATAAACTATACACATTCTTGATAACGGACGGCATGGGAACCGGGCGTCCGGTTGTGTATGCGTTCGTAGAGAGCGAGCAGTTTGCTCCTTTGCATAAACTGTTTGGCTTATTAAAAGAAAGGATGGGCGAAACTTATCCGGTTAACAACTTTGTAATGGACAAGTTGGCGGCGCAAATGCGTGCAGCAAGAGTCGTGTTCGGCTGTGACGTTATGCTTTGCTACTTTCATGTCCGCAAAGCCATCAGGCAGCACGTATGTATCATTTAATAACCATGCGTTTTTGGTCATGGACACATTCTGCGAATAGCCAGCACATATTTCACTCCATGGCTCACCTGGACAACGCTGTACGGCACGGTTTTGTTCATCGTATTGCAAGCATACAGATACCGGCAATACCTGTGGCTTCTGCGCCGCACCGATCCTCGATTTCTTTCCTATCTTACGGCTCGCTGGTTGTGCATCACCCGAAAATGGGCCATACACGCACAGTCCGGAATGGTTCGTTTCGGTAGTGTGACCAACAACCGATTAGAGAATGTGAAAGGCCTCCTTAAAGATCGGGTGCACCACTACAACACGTTGGAGCATGCAAACCAAGTGTCCCGGCACTTCGAGTGGCTCATGCGGGAGTTGGAGTTACATACGTCGTACCACTCCGACAGGCAGCACATCCTGGAGGATGATGCCTACATTCTAAACGTGGTCTGTCGAATGACATATGCATGTTCTCTCGTTTTGAGGCCGTATGAAAGTGTTGGAACAAACAAGGCGAGGTCGAGCTACGTAAACTAACTTATATTTTGTGGTGCAAACACCCAGATGCTCCCAGACTATCGGCACCTGTGCTGGAGTGTGCACATGCCCTTTCTACTAGGCGATGTGGCTCCCTTGCATACACCCGTTCTCTGTATTTCGAGATCAGTCCGTTTCGAGTAATAAGAACTATTCATCATTGACATTTTCTTTGCTTGCCTTCCAATCCACTAACGATGGCTGTCGGATTACAACCTACTGGAAAAAGATGTACACCTTACACATGTTCCAAAACCACCGCCGACAGCTTTCGATGGCCTTCGTAAACAACTGAACCAAGTGATAGATATACTTCAGAGGCTGGAAACCTGGAGGGCCATAGCCATCTTTAAGCGATTGATTTTAAGGTACAAATCTTGCTGCGTCAGACTTCAAAGTTTGCAACCGAAGATCTGCCGTTGGTGGTCGAGGATACTGCACCTCAACCAAGATGACGGTCTGGGAACGCTGACTTGGGCTTTTGTGTGCTCTGTGACCGGTCGGCTACTACCAGGGATCGCTGATGTGCAACGGATCGCGTTTCATATCACGCCGACTGGTGTGGTGGTGAACCTCGCCTACTGTGTGGTGGTGCTCTTCAGGCCTGTCCCAAAGGTGAGTCCACATGAAAATAAATTACCTTTGGTTCTTAGCCCCGGGCCCGACCAGAAAACGCAGAGGTGTGCTTGCTACCTGGTCCGAAAAGAAGGCCTCTTATGATGTTGGCCTGGACCGAAGCACAGAGTCCCAGCACAGTGTGCCGCGGAAGTCTGTATGCGTCCGTGTTTTCGGGTCCAGAGAGGAACTGCTCAACAGTCGTGAGAAATATCTGACAACTACGACTAACGCTGTAGAGCGCCAGCTAGATGAAAGAGACGAAGATGACTCCATGTGACACGTCGGCTCCGAATAGTTTGTCTGTTAATGAGGCCCCATGAATCTCATGTAAGTCTCGTATTTATTGAGAGGTGTAGTAAACAGGCATGCGAAATAACCACTGAAGAGGACGTTGTGTGAACAGGCATCTACGACAACATAATCACTGGAATGAATTTTGGGGTAAGTATCTCTAACAGTTTGTCGGCCGCCCGCCTCATGGTGATATTTCGATAACCTGAATTATATCTTCCTCTCATTTCAGGACTTCAACGGCCAAATGAACACTACTGACGAAGAAGAAAATGCGCCTCCCAGAAGGACATATGTACGCTTAAAAACGACCAATATATCTCAAAATTTCGAAACGTCCATTTTGAGCTTTTCCTCCGTTACAGATGGATGGGTGCGCATCGTGTACCCTAGGCACACGTTAGTCGTGTGCGTCGGTTAGGGTCGTTCAGCTGTCCGCTATGATCGACGTATGTTCCATGTTTCTAATCGATAAACCTCGAGGTCTTCCTAGCATAATTCGCAACCCATAGCGGAAAACTCTGGTTTTGCCAGCAAACGACTTTTAGCAAACAATTAACGTGCACTACGGAATTTTTACCAGCAACAGGAATTATCGACCAAAATTTATTTCCACGAACGCACCTACGCATAATTTGTATCTCCAAAGGCCATTTAGATTCCAAAATGTTCAGGAAATTTTCTACGGCGGAAGACGACCTGGAAGTTACGTTTATTGAGTCAACGGTTTCCACAATTCGCGATTCTTTATCATCAGGCAACGTATTCACAGTCAATGGTGTTTATTGACCTTGAGCATTTGCTCAGGTTAAAAAATCACCGTAGTAAATGATTTTCAAAAATACAGGAGCATATAAATTATACATAGACATTCTACACTATGGAGTGGCAAGTATGAAAATGCCGTAGATTTTGAGAAATCAATCCCATTGTGCGAATAGCCAGCATAGCATCACTGTAGCTCAGAGCGCACACTTTCGTTAGGTGACATGTCTCTCGTTTCGAGTAGTTGCTGCGTGGAATATCCTTCTCTCGACTGTTGACCACTCTCCAACAAGAACCCAGTTCGACGCACTATTGGAAACCTTTGTGCGGGTCCTCCGATGATTAGCTTATTGCCCCGAGCTGAAAAACTAAAGAGCGGTGCTACACTTCTTTTTAACATTGTGCCCTTCAGGTGAACAGCATCCGCTGAACGATAACAATAAAACCAACCTGGAAGCTTGGGCGAAAGCCCCAATCCTGTGTCAGTTCGTGAATCCGTAAACGAAACGAAGTGTGTGTGCCGTTCTTGTTTAAGAACTGCACCCACTTCACCGGCATTGATTTGAAGTTGAGCTCTCGGTTGATGGTAAAACGATAGAGAGCGTCGCTGCTGCACGCATAAGTACGACATAATTATCATTCATTCAACCGCTCGAAACACTGTGGATGCGAAGCAAGAAAGTAGTGCGGCATTTGGTCTTGACAATAACTTCACTGCAATTGAGACGGCACCGTGCAGAGAGAAGCATATTTAGCGGCGAAGTGTGAACTGACGAATAACAAAATCAGTTCACTTCAGAAGAAACTTTTAAGTTTGCGGCGGATCGAGAACCATCCGAATATCTCCATTCCGCTGAACGAAGAGAACAAAATCGATCCGGGAAACTTTGGCATAAGCCTGTACCTTGCATATCAATCCGCAAACTCGTGAATCTGTTTCGTGTGAATGAAACATTTGTACAGCGCATTTGCATTTAAATGCACGGAAGTCTTGTAGAAGGTTTAAAAGCATTGAAAAGGAATGTTCTTCTCGGCCAGAGTATCCCCAACGCATAAGAAAAACATGAAAACTTAGAAATTAAAAACGATATTTCGTATGACGCGGGCTATTGGCTTCTGAAAGACAGTACGAAATAATCAGTGTTCGTAGTCAACATCTGGCTAGTCAAGTCGGAAGTAGCATATTGCGACGATTATCACGTCATAATCATATACCCGGGTGAATTTGGTTAATTGTTTGAATCATGCCTTGGCGATTAGACACCGCTCTTGTTAAAGGCGCTTCAGTTATGTCCATCACGGTTACTACTCGCGCGAAGAGTGGACACGCGGACGATTGGGAGTATTGTGGAGTGAAACTGACTATTCATAATATTGTCATACCGGATGAGAAGCGATGCCCCACACCATCTCAACTTGACAACATGGATGCGGAACTGGAGACGGACCTGCGGATAGTGGGATGCGAGCTAATCCAAGACTCAGGCATTTTGTTAAGACTTCCCCAAGTTGCATTAGCAACGGCACAAGTTTTGTATCAACGTTTCTTCTATTCAAAATCGTTTGTTCGCCACTTTTACGAGGTGAGTTTGCGGACTGCTTCCTAATTATGTGCAGCATTATGCGATGGCGTGTATCTTTCTAGCGGCAAAGTTGGAAGAGTGCCCTAGACGTATCAGGGATGTCATCAATGTTTTTCATCACATCCGTCAAATCCGTGAGCAAAGGTAATTGATTTGTTTGTCCTTCTAGCGTGTATAGGATCCCGACACCTGTGATGCTGGATCAGAGTTACAGCAATTTGAAAAATCAAGTCATCAAAGCAGAGCGACGCCTTCTGAAGGAGCTGGGGTTCTGCGTACACGCAAAACATCCGCATAAGGTAAGTTGTTTCTCCTCGACCGACCGTTTCTCTTTAGCTCATCATCTGTTACCTACAAGCACTGGAACAGGAGAAGAATGCGAAGTTTGTTCAGTGTGCTTGGTGAGTTTGCCAGTCGGTGTACGAACTATGTAGCTTGACTTGAGGCGTCTTTGAATTCAACCTAAACTTGTCATATACTTGGATGTATAGTTACCAGTGTACATCCTTCCAGATAGCCTTGTGGTTCTTTCGGATTGGGTTCTTAGCATTTGGTGGTTCTGATAACCAAACTCAGTTTAGGAAAGGTTCAGCTTGATTTGCTGGTGTTTTTGTGTCACATAATTGCGACTCCATGTGTCCCATTGATAATCCGCTCCAAACCGGGCTTTCCATTAGTGTTGTCACCGAGGGACCGTGTTCACGCTTCTGGCCGCATGTGCACTGGGTTAGATGGTTCCCGTGTAAGCCTGTCCCAGCGCCTGATCTCGGTCGCTGGCCGACCCGAAGGTTTTCAGTAACATTTCTTGATGGTTTTGCTTAACTCTCTTGTTTTTTACATCACCTAGGAACTATATGAATGACAGTTTGCGCACTGATTTGTTTGTGCGCTATCTTCCGGAGGCGATCGCGTGTGCCTGCATTTACCTGGCTTCCTGCAAGTTAGGCATTCCACTACCTCGGCACCCGGCATGGTGGGAAATGTTCGCTGTGGATGAAGAATCTGTGCGCGAGATATCCTTGTGTCTTGTCCGTCTGTATGCCCGCCCCAAGCCATGTGTGGCGGAACTAGAGGCTGAGCTTGCTAAACTGCGTAAAAACCAAATGGAGGCTAAGGAGCGTGAGTTAGAACTTAAAAAAGTCCCCGCTGGTTCAACTCCAAATTTGGGTTCTGATCAGGGTTCCATTAACGTTTCACCAGCATCAGTTACGGTATCTGAAAAGCTTTCTTTACCGTCTCACGACGGTGGTCCCCTCAAAACAGATGAAGTCAAACTTTTTCGGGACGATCGGGTTTTACCTCCAAATTCTGTTTTGGCAAGTGCGATAGCCACTGCGAAAGCCGTTGCAGCGAACATCAGTGCCGCTAAGGGAGCATCTGATGCCAATCGGAAATCCAACTCATCGAGTCCAACAGTGCCCGAGCACAAGAGAATCTCTGAGACGTCGGAACCTACCCGTAATGATATGGTCAAGAAGCGCGAATCTCCAGAAACCACATCCAGGAAACCCAGCAAGTAGGTTTTCTTCGTTAATTAATCATGCTCCTATATTCCTCATGTTTTACGCTCCACTTATATCATTTCTGCCAACCCAATTTTTCCTGGTATCAGATTAGCTCCGGCCATGGTGCGTACGGGCTTGTACACCCACAAATAGGTTAAGTGTAAGAAATCAAGCTTTCTTCCCGAGAGATTCCTTGGTCCTGCCAGTACTTTGCTCGCTGGACTGGCGTTCATAGGGTGGCTGTACCAACCAGGATACCTGTGATATACTGAAAGTCACTTGTGGATGTTTCGTTCCACCATCTTAGTTTCTGAGCATCAGAATCCTCGAAGGCATTGTCGATTGCCGCGCGTTGTTACCACTCGGTGGGTGATGTCGATACACAAGGTTCAAATATTTTCCTGTTTCAGGGACCACTGATTCATGCCTCATACTCTGATGCCGATCTGAGAAATCCCGATCGGGAATCGGTGTTCACTGGACGATTTTCCAAACCAGTTCGAACGATCTTTTTTCATCTACTCGTACCGAGGAAGTCGGTTCCCATTATTTGTTGGTCAGTAGAGGCGGAAGACCGTGACTTGTTACTCATGATCACATAACAATCCTCAAGCTCGTCTATTTCACGAAGAAACGAGACGGCTCATTTTGCATTTATATGGGAAAGGTATATCATTAGATAACTGCGAAGAACCTCTGATGGCGCCCGTAGTGAATGTGGCAAGCACAAGGGGCTCAGATTGGCTCGTCTTGACGAGGCGCTTGGTGTCGCTTGTCAGTCGTGGCTTCGAGGACTTTTATATAGCTCAGAAGTGGTTCTCTGACGACGACCGTTGTCTCCGCCTAACAATTACTCTTGCAATTTCAGCTCAGTGGTCTACCCCACACCACTGCTGCAATCTGTAGGCATGCGTTCACAGTTGTTGCTGTGTTACGGCCAGCAAAGTAGGTAAACCACTCATCATCATCATCATCATCATCACATAATCATCATCATCATCATCATCATCACAAGTTCGACTCCATTGGATGAAATAGGGTTATCAGGGGAATGCCAATCCAGCACTCATGGGTGCTGCTTGGAGACAGGCTTGAAACCAAGTGTAGAGAGTTTTCAGTGGGATGCTGTCTCTTAGCACCTAGTGTACAAACTGAATTGTTTTAAGTGGATCGATATGTTTCGACTATGGATTCATCATCACTGTCTCAATCACTAACTCGGTTTTCGGTTATTGATTTGTACCCTCGAAGCAACGGGTGACAGCAAACATTTCAAGTGTCAGTATGCATCAGAATCATTGTCCGCTTAATATCACCGCTGAGCCTGTTCCATAAGTTGCGAATTTCTAATTAATCCGAGTGCATCAGACCTAAGGAGCTCAAAATAGCTCTGGTTACAGCTGGAATTCGCTCATCGAAAGGCCCGTGTTTGGAGCCCAAACCAAGCATTCCGACTGCTGCTTGAACAACCTGGTAGTACCTTCGCTATCGTGCTTCCTTCGGGCAACGTGACAGCTAGGCACCGGAAGCTTGCCACGTTTATTATTATTAGATCCTAGACCCTAGTGCGGATGCACCTGACGCATTAACAAAACGCGCAAAATGGCAACGTAATAATGTCATAATAATGACTTGACACGCAAAGGAAGCACGAGGGCCCAGATGTCAGGTTGTCCAAACAAGAACAGTCGAGATGTTGGCGTTGGGTCTGAACCATAAAACTGGCGGCAAGTTGGCATCTTAACCACAACTATCTCCAGTTGAAGGTGACAGCAGTTCCGGATTTCATGAAAAAATAGTTTTACTGGACTCAAAAAATATATTCGTGAGTGTGCAAGCAACGCTACACAACAAATCGTCCGGTGCCTAGCTACCGTTCCACCCATGTGCAAGCAACGCTACACAACAAATCGTTCAGATCGTCCGGTGCCTAGCTACCGTTCCACCCGAAAAATGCACGAGAGTTGAAACGCTGCCAGGTCGCCCAAAACGAGAAGTTGAGATGCACAGGCCGGGTTCGGACCACGGACCTTTTCAGAAATTCGCACTCTAACCACTCAGCCATCTCGCTTCACTCGGGGCTCCGGTAAGTACATCCAGGCGTCGATACTCAGCATTGTTTTTCATTGCCACAAGTAGAAAGGATGGAATGTGTGGGCAAAACGCAGCAGTTTAAACCATATACCAATAACAGGTTCGTGTTACTTTGCGTGAGGGTGTTGAACTTTTGATCTACACCAACACTGGATGCACCTCGAACTGAAGACTGAGTTAACCGCCGTGATTATATAAGGCTAGCGGGCACCTGCAACTTTCTTGTTCAAAGATCGCTCCGTGGAACAGTACCAGATGGTGGCCCCTTGATATTGCCCCTGCTTTCCGCTTTTTGGTGCTTTTGTATCGGTCCCTTCAAGTAGTTCTGAACTCCGCATGTCTTTGGTGCTACCTGTTGACCATTCATAGAAGGGGAGTGGGGGTGAGAAACGTGGTTGATGCGAGGTGCACAGTTGTGTTAAGTCTTACTTCTGAGGTGTAGTTATATGATACAGTACCATCATAATCTCGCCTACAAACACTTATTACCCCAATTTTTCATTGCAGGAGTGTTCATTCAGAGCTCTGAACCGACTGATAAAAGAGAGTTCACATCCTTTAATTTCATCAGTTGTTTTTAGGAAAATACGGTCTCATTTTTTCAGGGTAGTCTGAAATACAATCACTACATTTACTGGTAGGCAACGTGTCTCTAGGCCAAGTAAAAAAAACAGGATTGACAGTTTAAATGTAAACGGAGAACCGATCAGTCGGTGCTGAGTGTCAACCCTTGTAAATATGATTTAATCAGATGTCCAGGAGGCAGCTATTTCTGTCGTTTCGTTATTCTCCCAAGTGTGGACCAATGTAGCCGAAAGACTGGTGTTCACCACTTGTTTCTATCAACTTTTAGACTAGTATGACGCAGTCGATGTAACTCGCGTGACCCATTTAAGGTCGTTGAACGTTTCTAAGCTGAATCGCTTGTCGAGATCGCATTAGCTTAGGATGCTTGAACATCTGGACCACAACAAAAGTCCTTTGTTGTCTGAATATAATGAATCGGTCATCTATGAATGCGAATTTCGAGGGATGGTTACGTTTGGGCACTTGGCCGCTTTCCATATGCCATTCGCTGTTTGGATTCCAGCACATATACCCCTAGTTATTCGAATAATGGTGCTATATATGGGATATACTTGAGTAAATTGCCATTCGTGGCTTCCACATTGAGTCAGTAATAGGACCACATATTTGGTAGTTTAGATATATTGTTTGCCGGAGTCTCGTTTAAAAATCCATCACTCATGGTGGTCTTAATTTGTGCCGTGTTGCACGGTCGACCACCTTCCTGGAACGCATACAGTGAAATGAGTGACTCCCACTTACATACTTTGGTCGTTTATTTTTCACGCCAGCACGACCAAAGTACGCGAATTTGGAGGGCTGGTTGAAGTTTCCCGCTTCCGATTCTTAGAGGGCTTAATTCCTTCTGGCGAAAGACGAATATGTGAAATAAATACGCCATAGTGGACGGTTTTTTTTGCATGCTTGGTGGGAAGGCTTAGTCGCAGTGGAATCCCTTGTTTATTCAGAAGTGAATTCCCACGTTTTCGCCAAGTAATTAACTCCTAGGTTGTGGAGAGGGATTTGATCTGGATACTAACCGTAGCCATTTCTCTTTTGTTTCAGGTATTCGCTTGATATTGCCTCAGGTAGGCCAGCTGCGTATCCCAACGTCTCACCAGAACCCCTGGCATCCCGAAAACGGCGGCATCCGAGTAAACGAAGTTCCAGGCGCCGGTCGGCCTCTCACTCTCCATCATCTTCAGAATCTTTGACTGATGCAGAACATTCAAAGGGAAACGTCCCACAAAACCCCTTCAACCAAATAAACTCCCGGCATTATCGTCACCGTCGGCTCAATGCCCAAGAGAGCGTTCATTCTACATCTGGATCCGACACACCTAACAGCCCTCTTAGCCCGGTGAAGCGCCGTAAGAAATCCATGCACAGAAACAGGTCTCTTTCACGTTCTTCTTCAGCAAGCTCGAGATCGTCATTGTCATCAAATGGTGACTCTCGCGCATCTGGAATGCATGCACACAAAAAGCACGTTCACAGGTCTCGTCGGCGGGGGTCACCTCCAGCAGCCTATCGATTAGACCCATATCAAGATTCATACAACTCTCTTAAACTTAGTAGTAAACATCGATTATCTTCAAAATCCTCTTCGCTAGTTAACGGTGGAGGACGTAGCCTTTTAAATCGTTCCCACCCGCGCTCCAAGACAAATGAGGTTTCGGATCGCCGGGATCTAGTTTCACGCGAGCATAGACGTCGTTGATGTTACACTGTACATAGCCACCATACCCTTTCGTTATCCCCCTGTACAAATTCTATTATCGCATTCTATTCAGATAACTGCCAAGTACATCTCTCTTGTTTGATGATTTCGAGGTTATCGGGGCTTGGTTTTTAGATGAGAAGTGCAATCATCGTGTTTGCTGAATCTGTTGATAGTACACAACCACTCTTTGTTCCCTACAGGAATCCGTTTTCAACCAAATCTAGCGATGCATTTACCACCAACTAGTATCTGACGGCCACTGGTTTGGCCCTTGCCGAATGGGAAGCCACAAGGAGTAACCGTCGCATACCGCTTACACAAGCACTGTGATGGCATCGGCTTCCACACATGGATTGTCACGCATGTATTCTACCTGCGCCGGACGGCGGTGGTCTACGGGTCTCCGAGTCACGTGATTGGCGTGATTGAAAAGGTTAATTATTTTTTATTTTCTACCGTTTTACTGCCTCTTTCAGCCGTATTTTATTCAGCAAACGGTCCAACTATCTCCTACTCCAACTGACGTAACAGTTAGGTCGATTGTTCGTTAACTGCATCGGTTTGGGTTGCAGCTTTCGGTGTCTGGCTTATCCACGTTCCACCCTCCAGGGTATGTCTTTGACACGTCCTCACATCCACGATTGAATAACTTTTTCCGCATCCTTTCGTTGGAGTTCGAATATACCGAATAGTTGGTTCCTAGACGAGCACTCCGGTGTTATTCTGTTGCTGTTCTAATTTATTATAGTCAGCCCCCAGGAGAAGATTTCGGGTCAGAAGAGAAGTTTGTCACGACATCACTACTCGGTGGCTTTGTTCTGTGGTAGATGTTTCTTTGCATAGAAAGTTTGTGACCGGTTATTTGTCAGGCGTATTCTAGTTATCTTGGTTGTTTGCCGACAGTCGGAGTCAAATAAAGCTTTGAGAATGCTACTGTGGGGGCATTTGCAAAGTTTGGTTATCAGTTTTCGGTATTAAAGCGACAAACCAGGTCTGCCTTATTCACTTAATGAGCAATCCAGAAAGCAATGCGGTTTTACATGGGTGAACGTATGCAAAAATTTTGGACTGCGGTCAGCTTTCGCAGGTCGTATTGGCTATCAGTGACCGAGGACATCTTGAACAGTAGTAAGTCGTAAGGACGCGCATATGTGGTCACAAGGTTGCATGTATTCTTGATTTTTCCGTCTAGCCCTTATTCAGGCTCATCCCAGGACTACCATACGCTTTCTACAACATACTAACTGCTTCGGAACCGTCATGAACCGTGGAATTCACCGTGCTCTACTGCCTCTGCTTGTGTATACCAGAGCATGCATTACGACAGTGAAGCATCAGTGCCAACACTGATGTTGCTGTCGTTGATGATGATGAGTCAGTCTTTCGAGTGCCCCTAGTTAGTGTGATCAGGTTTTGTTTGATGTTCGCTGTGCAAGCCAGGTATCTACTGGGTAGATAGAATCGCCAGTTTGTCCTTCGCTCGTACAGGTTCCGGGTAGTCTGATCTCAGACCCTTGGGGAAAAATGCGGGGCATTGGTAATCATTAAGCATTATCGAAAACATACTGAGGCAAAAAAAGTTATAGATATCAGAGGGAGGCTGCTTCACTGATTAGGGAAGCACAGCGCAGCTCATTAATTTTATTCTGGAACCTTGCCTCGCATTCGTCAAAAACGCGTTAGCTTCATCAGCCATATGTAGTTCGGTCCTTTCTAGGCTTAAGCAACTTGGCAATGTCCCAACCCTCGTGCTGCTTTCTTTGGCATGGTTACTAGACACCGAAAGGGTGTGACAGCTGGATGATTATTATTTATAATGTAGTCCGGTGGTAGACTGGTAGGTAGATTCCAGCGGATTTTTTGTTCCGATATGCCTTGAATATTCAGGCGCCTTACAACTGATCGCAGAATTGACATAGGGCTGGGTCTTCGTTATTTCAGGTATGGCCTTATCTGCTGTAGTTTCTAGTTGATTGAGCAGGTTTCCGCTTCCGTACCACGCTTCAGGTAGACAACGGGACTGACGTATCTGAGACTATGTAATGGCCTGTGTGACTCTGCTTCGTTAATGCTGTCTGCCTGATGTCAGGTGCTAGTACCGCAGGGTGCCCTTTCCGCTTAGGCCGTCAACGCGTGGTACCCGTTTTTGATTGATCGTTTTCTGTTGTTGCAATTTCGCAGTGGGCGTTTCGTTGTCTTCGCCGCAGACGTGACGCCTATTCCTGTCGCCAACATGGCGCACGAATGTCATGGACCACGGTGTTCAAGTGATTTGTTGCATTATTTTGCAGTTTTACGCTTTCGGTACGTCTTTCAGAAATACAAATTTTCCATTTACTGAATGCTTTCCAATTCACTTTCATGCGTAACTTTTGTTCGCTATCTGAAGACCATATCCAGATGCAGAGGAAAAGGGTTTTGCTGCTGTTTAGTACTTTGTATGAATTGCCTTCTGCTTCTATTCCTACACTTAGGGGTTGAATTTATGTGGGCAATTTGTCCAGAAAAGTTTCAACAGCTGTTTTAGTTAAAACAAAACCGCTGACCAGATTCCCGTTGTATGCAATAAGTCACTGAGCGAAAGGTGAATCTGGAGAAAAAGTTAGCGTTTTCAGTCGATTGACACGGTACTATCGTCAGTTGTGATGTTGAATTAATTCAGGGTCCTTTTACCTGTATATCGCGCATGCCAGTTTTGAAAAGCCTGCGTGACAGCTAGTGACTTGCGACAGCGAAGCGTATCACGTTTGTTGGAGCTATTGTGTTGTATATACCTAGAGAAGTAGGTAAGGCATCTGTGTTAACGTTTCACCATTTTCTGTCCTCACGTAGTTTTTCGCGTCTACTCGCGTTATCATACAGGCTGTAATGGCATATGGACATGAGGTTCACTTACGTAGAAAGGCGCAGGTTTGACAGGTTGCGTGCTCCCTCGCTGTCGTGCAACTCCAAGTCGCTAGTATTACTAAGTCAGCCACTTGGGTACGGACACCAAACAGCTTGACTTGGGCTGCGGTACCAGCTGTCCCAAGTCGCTAGAGTAAGTCAGCCACTTGGGTAGGGACACCAAACAGCTTGACTTGGGCTGCGATACCAGCTGTCCGTTTGTGTCCGTGTATGTATCGCACGGGGGAGCAATTTCTTGCGTCGCTTTTACGCCTGAATCTATTTGGTAAAGCCCCCACGGAACACTGGGGGCTGAGGCAATCGATAGAATCTTTCAGGGATAGGGTGAAGTTGGAACACTCGGCTGCTACCCCACGACTGGCAGTTCCTCTAATATCCGGCTGTGGGTGATCAGTACTTGAAGTAACCGATCATCCATAACACTCCTTCAGGGTCCAGCCGTCCGTGTCACTTTAAAGCATGAGATTCTGCAAGGTGGTCCTAGCCTGGGCAGGACCACTATTAGAACCGAATTCGGGTTCGGATCGCATATATTCCGCTCATCATCATCATTATTGTCAGTTGTAATATCAGTGGTTGTAGCTGCCACAGTTTCGTTCACCAGTGATTCGGGGAGGTGGGATAGGTCGCCGCGTTGGAGGCGAGAGCTGATAAATTAGTGCGTAAATACAGCACTTTCGGTAAGTTCGCGCTCCAACCACCGATCCACTTCAATCTGTGGGCAATCAACCAATTTCTTCAGTCACCTCCTTGTGAGTTCTCTATTATTTATCGTCGGCGATGAAGGTTTTGGCAATTCAATGGCTCGTAATCATTAAAGCACTCATCGACTGGTGCTGCGTTTTGGTGGTGGTAGCGTGCGGTAGACAGGTTGAATACCCATGTTATATGACTGGTTCCTGACGCAATGCAGTGTGCGCATGACGGCGTTGCCTAATGGGGTTCACAGGCCTTGTTAGAGCTAAACGGAAATTTTCAGCGCCAAAATACTGGTGGAAAAATCAACAAAGCGACCAAAAAGACTGTCCAAGCGGTTTCGAACTATTGTCCTTGGTTTCTTGCTAAGATCACATCGTTAGTTGTGGTGAATTAATCTTGCGCGCAACGGACTTCGGATGAGCATTCAGATAAAAACTTCTACGTGGCTGCTTGTCTTCGGTCTTGGCCATTGAGGTTCGTATGTTGACTCCGTTTGTCACACTGACGTGACAGTTACGAGGTACGAAAAGCGTTCCACGATTTCTAGTGTCAATCATTGATTTCTCAGGGTCGTACCCAGGGACTACGTCGCGCAGAATGATTCTACAGTTTGTGGGTGCAATGCACATGCTTAACAACTGTATGACCTTTCTCAGCTCGTAATGCGCTTCCTGCTTTTCAAAAATAAAACGACAAGACTCACTTGAAAACATCTGAACAGCGGGATTTGGGAGACCTTTGAGTGTTGGCCTGATAGCCTTACTAACGACAAAAACAAAAATGGAGAGTTGGCCCGATTGTCCTACGTCCCTGTTTGTACGGAATTCTTTGGAACCCCTCACGCACTCATGTGGTCTCAATAGTGTATACAATCTGCGTGATGTTTACGCACGCGTGCCAAGAACGTATCGGTCGACAAGTCGAAGTCAAGGAAATCCAGGATTGTAGGGCAGCAATGTATATTCTGTTTCTCTAATGTGAAGGGTGTTAGTGTGCTTCATACAGCGCGTTTCCGGCTGGAATCCTGTTTCATATGCTGGGTTTCAGTCCACACCGGAAGAAGTAGGATGAACGACGGCCTGGTTACACTGAGTATCAAGCCAAATCCTCCAAGATTGTCAAGTTCACGGGGGCTCGCCTTTTGAGAATGATCACAACTACTGACTCGTCCCAGTTAATGACTGTCTTTCTCCTAGATAGGCAAATAAGTTGGGTTAGCATCCACTGTGGCCTTCATCCCATCTTTCAACAAGTGGATGGGTGTTCGTCAGGACCAACAGATCGGAGGTAGTTGAGAGGAAGAGGCCTTTGCTTATTTCCGCAGCCGCCGGGGTTTCCAGTTTCGCTGGTCGGGAATCCGGTAGGGTAGCTTCAGATGGCTGTTTGAGCTTAGGCGCTCTCGCAGATAAGCTGTTTTTATCAGTTTGCTTGGGGTCCGTTGAGCACATTCTCAGTGTACAACCAACTGTAGTTTTTGGGATCCAACAAGCTTCAAGTTAGTTCGTTGAATGGTGGAGTGTGTGTCCGATGTTCGAACTGCTTTGGAGTTCATTGCGGAGCGCCAAGCATCCGGCAGGTGTGCGGACATTATTTTCTAGTAAGTCAGCATCAAGATATCCTGTTCGAAATGAACTTTAGTAAGTAGTTCTGGTTTACTTGTTTCACAATGGGGTCCGGCAGCTTCTCAATCGACAAGCGAGATGTATGTGTCTTGCGCGCCCCTGAAAAGTGCAACAAGAAGCGGCACTGTACCTCAGGATGGTCAACAGTCAGTAATGGCCCCCCAAGCTACCGATAGTCAATGGCAATATGCTCTAGCTGTGTTGAGGTTTGGCTCGCATTCGAGGGTGTCGGTTAGCCCGGTGGCTATCAGTGGGAAACCATTCAACCAAAGACCCCTCAGTTCGGTGGCTTAGAGCACTCTTCACTCCCCAAAGGCTAGCCTTAGTGGTTTCTGGATCACCGGAGGTCGTCGACATCAGAATGTATCCAACATATGCTTCGCACCCGTGCAAACCATAATTTGAGTGATAGCCTTATTGTGGAGAAATTGGACGAAACTGAACTGGGAAGGGGCTTGGGGCTAGCGTAGTACGGGGACGAGATGATTTGGCGGTTAGAGTACAATTTTACTGACAGGAATGTCCGTGGTTCGAAACCGACCTTAATCTTTCGAATTCCCCTGTCTAGGCATGGGCAACCTGACAGGTCCCAGCCCCCGTGCTACTTTCGCGTGGCAGAGCGTTATGCATCGAAAGGATACTACAGCTGAACTATTTATATTAGCTCAGCGGATCCATCATTAGTGCATTCATTCAGGTGACCTGGATAGGAACTGACGGCATGGATTAGTAGCCAGATCTTGTAGCGTCTCCTATCAGGCGCAGAAGTGGTCACGCGGTCCCATCCTGTAAAGCAGGTCGCATCGAAGCGCGCAACCAGAAGCGAGTGGGAACAGATGGGGAAGACAGTAGAACAATCACTGGGTCATAAGTCCTCATTCAAGGCAGCATGCATAAGTGGAAAGCGATTCCAAGCTAGGGTGGAGAGCTGTCTGTTGCCCACCTTGTTTTAGAGTGCAAACGTTAAATGCTTCTAGGTGGACTGGTTGTCGGGGTTCGAACAATGATTTCGAATTCTGTTTTGCTCTGGCAGCCGAGGCACGAGCAGATATTGCTGCTAGCGATAATTGTCCGCGAATGGCTCTCGGCACTTAAGAATGGGCGTATAGTGATTTCGGTGGAAGCGAGATGAGAAAAGGCTGGAGAATGTATGGTGGAGAGGCGCACGTTCCACCCCCAAACTGGAGGACCGGAAGACCCGGTTGGTCAAACCTGGTTTGACAGGCTCAGAGTCACAAGTACACGCCCCAGTAATGCCCACTGGGTTATTGAGGTACACAAAACGTCACCGCGATAAAGTCGTCTTCGTGACGGTTTGGAATTCGGTGCATCCGAAACATTGGTTTGTATATTTGATGGTGATATTTCGGCACGCTAGACACCATCGCCCAGGCATGTATCTGACCAAGACGACCCAGGGTTGTTCACTCTGTGGCTTGGCATCGAAGGGTGAAAGTCAACTCAGTCGCCTTGGTTACTGCGTGTCCCCCTGATGAAAGCCCCAGGACGATGGTTGGTGACCCTGACGATGACGATCGCAATGGCTTTCTCCGCGTAGTGCTTGATAACCGGGTAAGAGTTCGGTAACGTCGGTCTAACTGGTTGTGCAATCTCCTGTGACGCATGGTTACCTTTATCCGCATTAGATGAAGCTATGGCGGCTGGAACCGCCACTTTCGGGCTCGGGTTGTAGCCTATAAATTAGAATGAACTGGAAGTTCATACTGACCAGGGAGACTGTTTAACACGACTGAGCAAGTCAATCCGAATTTGCCACCCAGCTGTGCTTCTCGGTTCGGTTGTCAAACTTAGACGTGCATATCACCCGCCGGGACGATAGCATGAGTTACCGCTGACGGATGCTTCACACCGGTAGGAGTGAAACCGAGTCTCATGCCTACCGACTGGGGTAGTAAACAAATTTATCTACCTTGGCGGGTGTATCAGTCCCGGTGGTCTAGCCGAAGATGTTATTTCCATCCGGATTCGGAAGGCTTTTGTGAACTCGAGTCACCTGTGGAGTAGGCATGAAAGCTTACCCGACAATGTTGCGGTACCCTCCATATAATAGTATGGGTCAGAAACCTGGCCACTGCACTGTGGACGTCAAAAGCTTTTAGTTTCCTACCATCGATGTCTTCGGAGCATTGCCCAAGTCTGGTGGAAAGACCAGATCAGTAATACTGAAGTACCCCAAATGGTTTTCAGAAGGAATAACTTACGATGGATGAACTGGCCACATCCCATTTGTTGTGTGGGTTTGGTCACGTATGGCAGTTGACCGATTTCCTCGGAACCAATGTAACCAGCACCTATGCGAGACAATCACGTGAAACTGACAGCTTTGGGATTCTTTACGTGTTCGCGCACGTAATCTTTCAACAGAAGACGGACTTGCACCCTCGCCATTGCCATACCTATGTGGCGTAGTCGAGAAATAGGACAACTGAAAATCACCTTAGCTTTATCAAGGGATCTGGTCTTGTGCTGATTTTGCCCTCCGGCGCGTAAGAAAATATCAGTGGGTGGTATGGGACAGAAACATGAAGTTGAGGTAACCGGGCAGTTTCGGCTACAGCTTGTGCTCATTTGTCCGTCTTGTACACTACATCGGTCGACGGCTTCTGTGGTGTGAAACCACCTGTCCACGCAGTCCTGTCACTCCAGGGGGTAGTGGGGGCACAATCACTTTCTGCAATCCATTGACAGATGGCTTAAGACAACCCCAGTAGTCTAAATTCTCGACAGAAAGTTGCCAGACTTATTCCTATTCAAGCGGAGAGACGGTCGATCATGCCTTTGCCCACTAAATCATATGGCTTAACAAAGTGCTATTGTTATCCGTACCCTAGTACGGCTCAGAAGGTCAAGACCACTGGATGCGAGGCGAATGGGACTTATTTCAACCGTCACAGCGTCGTTCACCACTATACTAACCGGGTCAACTTCACCAAGTAAGAGTAGAATACAAAAATAAGACGTCCTTAACAATACGGGGGCCGCAAACCGTGGGCGTAACTCCTATTTTCTGCACGATGTAACACCCTTCGAAAGAGGGTTTTGGCCTCGCCGAAGTACGTTTAATGTCACCGCTAGTTCACCTGGACATCCCTATTGTGAATGAGGTCTCAGAACTCGCTAATGGAACATTAGGATGAAGTAGTGGTATGCGAAGTGACTTATTCAAAGATAATATTGATTGAAAAGATTAAGACGAACCTGAAGAGTTGTGGGTGTTCCAGTTGTTGGGGCTACAGGAGCTTACTGGCTGCTCCAGTTGGAGGTTTCCGTCAAAATTTTTTTCGAGGGCAACTGACTGCAACCGGTAATCTCAACTTGACATACCTTATTTCTGAAGTTTTTTTTCGATCGGAGTAGATGGGATGCAATATGAGCGGTCGGTACTTATCCTCCGGGTGAAACAGCATTAAAATTGTCACTAACACCAACACTTTTCCGATCCGTTCACACCATCCGCATCTGATCAGTCAAGGGCAACCTCACAGTACGCAAAATATGATTATCAGGATTGCCTGGAAGGAAAAATATCGAGATTTCGGGAGTTTTGTGTTGTGCTCCACCTCACTGTACAGCTGTTGTCTTCAGCCGATATTTGAACTGCTAGATGCTCGAACCGAGGGTGCAATGTGCGTATCCGGAGTCGAATGGTCGGCTGACCCAAGTCCAGCATCATCGAAAAATCAGATTAAGTTGCACGTGGCATTCCCATCCTAACGTTCGTTCTTGGTCACACTCAGTCATTTTTGTTCCCAGAGGGTTTCCTTCGAAAGGGGTGGCAGTCTCCAAAATGCTTCCTTGGAAGCAGGTGAAGCATATTTCTGGTCGAATTTCTAAGCACAGCCTTTGTAATTTTCACAATAAGAGGTAAAATTGCTGTGATACTAGTAGCAGTAATTGTCGCGCACCTTACTCCGGATCAGACTTCACCGCGCTCTCTATTGTTTCTTCATATCCTTGAGGTTAGCTTACTGAGTTTTTGACAAAATCGCACGCTTGGGTGGGGCTCTGCGACATTCCCGTCGTGTGAATACAATCCTGGAATTTATACGAAATGGGACGTACTCTCTACCTTATTACGGTAATATATTTGGCTATTTGGGCTACAGGCCTTTGAGGGAAGTGAATACGACGCCCAGCACGTACCTGTGAGAACGCAGTTGGCATTGATCAATGGTGTGAATCAGACTGGTGCCACGGAAAGATGGCAACCGCATCAATGATCCATTTACAGCCGTCGAGTGAGTGTCAACTGGGTAAGAGTTTACGCAGCTTGTTAATTACAGAACACAATGAAAACGGTTCCGAAAACATTATATTCCGACATAGCGGTAGCTAAACTATTTTTTTTGCGGACCGTGGGTGATGAGGGACAATTGAAGTAGTTTGTCCACCATGTTTACTATCCTGTTAGATTCGGAGTTTTAGTCTAACAACAGGGCGTCGACTATGGGTTACGCAGTCAAAACACCGATTAGCACCGTCAAATATCAGAGTTGTCACCTTTTAGGTTGCCTCACGATTTGCAGAAAAATATTTGACCAACTGGGAGACATGTTTCGTGGTCTCCCTATCCACGGCAAGCATGTCACTTAAGAAGAAATCGTTGTTCTCTTTCAGCAGTATTTATTCTTCCGTTAGTTATTAATCACTGTGATCCATGCCCTGTGTGTTATCAATGTCGACTCCACGTACACATAGTACAGGTCCCAACACTGTAAGAACTTCGAAGATAATGAGTTGCACGCGTTTTGAAGGTGAGGGTCGTGTTCTTAAATTAGCTTCTCGTTTATCGTAACTAGTGCAGTGAGATTTAATCGAACCGCAGTGAATTCATTCCATTCAGCCATACCGTTATAATTTCGTGTCTGTATATAAGCTACATAAGTTAACTATTTGGATATACCTCAGTCGACACTCCGTCGGTTTCCCGGGCATACGACGTACCTGCTGTAAGCACCGCCTTTCGAATCGCTTTGACTCGCACACTGATCCCGATCTAACCGTTTCTGAGTCCATTTGAATATTTTTACCAACAAACCTCAGGTTCCACGTGATCACTTTAGGCTAATGTTAACCAGTGCTAATAATGATCACACTGCACGACCGTCGCCCATATTTGCGGCCTTTAACCAGAGCAAATTTCGGCACTGTGAAGTTACCAGTCTTCTAGTCACGAGCTTCTGATCAGTTATGGTGAAGTCACCTGGATGAATTAGCATTCGCCGCCCGGTTTTACTGCCAAAATCAGCATGAATTGAGTACCCAATATTTGTAATGCACTACTCATAAGGTTGCTGAAAATTCGTCGACAACTCACGACCGGTTTCGCCCTTCTTGGATCTCACCAGGTGATGAGTAGTGCATTACAAATATACATATATCGCGATATATCGAATATCGTAGCGACTGAAACATGAGGCGGCCTGGTGCAGCACATTCAGTTGCCTGGAAATATCACAACGAGGGACTCATCTGGGTTCCAGGTGAGTCTCTCGAGAAGCCAAATTAGTTTGCAAATGAGTGTATTTCGCTGTGTTTAATATTTCACTCGACTGTATCAGACATCGCGGGTGGCCTATATTAGGCAGTTTTTAAGCGGAGTATTCATAAGTGCGCATATACCAATAAGTTTAGTAATGTGAATAACGCCGTTGATGAGGGGTACATGAGGATGATAAGGGATTTAGTTTTTACACATTTAATCAGTGTACTGTTGTCCTATTCTGCTCGTTCAGTGAGCTAAATTACCCCTCGAAAGCGAACGATGAACATGTCGGCCGAAGTAAACCTGTAAGTTCGCCTCGGCTAATACAACGAACCAATCGATGCTCCGGTAGCTACGAACATTTACAGCAGACAAATAGAGGAACCACTTTTCACCTATAAAAATATTTCCCCACCTTAGTTCACTCATTCACACAAACGTCACTTTCCAAATAACAAGAACCCGTGGTCTTTGTTCGTATTCGGTGTTCATCCCAGAACGATAGTTTATAGGGGATAGTAGGACAGCGGCAGTAGTCTCGTCCCCCCAGGTCGATACGCATGCTTTGCTCTACTGGTTCCCTGGAGTTTTGTTTGGGCACCTGAAGACGGAAACCCTGAAAACTGAGTTCGTACTGCAGATTAGGTGACTGTTCTGAACGTTATTTAGAGGGCACATTCCTCAAAAAGCTTTCCCTTATGAGTTCTGAAAGTCCTCCAGGTTGGGGGTTGGAACATGTATGGCGACTTGTTCCGTAGAAAAGGTAATGCATTTGCATTTCCCCGCCAAACACCGCTGCCTTGCGGTTAGGCTTTTGAGCCAAAGGCTTTGGTTGAGGACCCTAATCGTCCTCCTGTCTAGGTGTGGGCGCCCTGGCAGTATCCCAGCCCTCGTACAACCATGATGATGACTTTGCTTACTGGGATATATCCTTTTAAATCAAATTTACATCACGTTTACTCCACCATGAAGTGGCTGCCATTAACGACCGTTCTTGCTGTCGTGAACATACACTGGGTTTTGCATAGCAATTTGTACGATTTAGACGAGAAAAATTTGAAGAATGGCCCTACTCCAGTGGAGCAGGTGATTCCAGAAAGGCCTACTCGTTAGAAAAGTAGGCCATGGGCGACAAAGTCTATATGACACGTCAGTTCGGGAAGAATGTGCTGCTATTGCACGTTGCTTTTTGGAATGGCCATTAACTGTGAAGGAAATATTCAATGGTACGAGTCCGAAATTAGCGCTACGAAGGACTGCGCTTCACTACGCTTCCGCAAACGAAGCTGAAGCCGTGGTAGCCAGCGTACTTTTGGCAGACAGCTTATAGTTAAGTAACGGAAGTGAACTGAGAATGGAAGGCTCAGTGGTCGGAGCCGAAGAGCGGTGTTAGTACCGTCTTTGTTCTCCTGCGTGCTTATTTGATGGAATGACATTTGACGTCTGCTGGCTCAGTTAGACTCAATTATGAGCATATGAATAAAGAACAAGTCGAGTTTGCACGAGTTATGTAAAAATAATTATCCGAGAAGATGTACACTGGATGGGGACATGAGTAGTGCATGGAGTAATCGCCTTTGTTTTGTTCTGCCAAGAATACCCAGCACCAACAGCCCGTTTGTTCACCGGAGTCTCACTGTCCGTTCATATTGCGGGTGCTCTAATTTCATGAATGAATTTTCACGCATTAGTCTACGTGAACTGCTTGCTCAGCCAGGGTGTAGCTTCAGTTTGGAGCTTCCGTAGCACTGTTCCACTGCATAGTCCACTGTCATAAAGATTCGCGAGTACGCTGTCCGCCAATCGCGCATCGAGTCTGGTAATCCAAGCTGTGTGATTAGCCGATCTAGGCAAACTAGACAAAGCCGGACACGTTCCAGGTTGTATGGAACCAACTCGACCAGATACGACGCCAATATGCATATGTCTTCCAACTGTGGGCCTGTTTGTAATGGCAATCAGATGAATGAGAGACCAAGTGAAAAGAAATGTCTAGATTAGATGGAATGAAATTCACGCCATATTAAGCAAAATTAATCAAAAAGTCGAATTGTGATCAATAAGGGAGGAACCATCACCGTGCTACTCACAGGGTTCACTGGTAATCCAATTGGCGAAGATTTGTTTTATTTGGTCCATTGTCTTCGTAGCAAACAACCCAGTAGTGTCTGCACCAGTCTGTGTCAGGAGACCCGGACTTGCCAATGTTTTTGGCTTGATAGGCGATAGTGCGTTATTTGCAACCCGACCTATCCCTTTTAGTGGACTGTGCGGTTGCACGTGGCGTGGTGCGTGCTTCCGAGGCAAAGGTGTGCTGCTCGGCAGTGGTGAAACATGACAGTCAACGTCCCGGCAGATGTATTGATTTGGGGATACCTGAAGTCGGACAGGCAGTACATACACACGGATTGGGATTAGATATGACACACCAGTCCTCCCGAAGTGCAAGCAAACACATCTGTCTATATAAACTTTAAGTTGAATCAAGCTACCAGTGACCGTGAACCTTTAGGTATTAGTCCTGTAGTACAGCGCCTGCTCTCCAATCAGTGCCAAAACATTTAACGAAGTTGACAGCGTCATTAGTTTGTGCCGACAGAACCCCTCGGACCGACTGTACGAACAAGTACTAGTTATTACGCATGCAATATTCATCCCTTAGGAATAGCTGCATGGTTCCCTTGCTTCGGCTGTGGACTGCGGCCTTTGTAACTAAAGTGGAAAACTGCAATGTTTTGTGATCTCACACACTACAAAGTGTACACGCGTTTTCCCATACACTCACGGGCGACAATCACCAGGACCTAACCTCATAAGTACGGCGGGTTTACAGGCTTTCTAGAAACCCACAGTACAACTGCACATTAGACAGGCGAACTCCATTCACGGAAAGTAATCGCAGTTCACTGTAGTGCGCAGTTCCAGTTGCCCAATTAAATTACCATTTCCATGCGAATCCAATTTGCTCTTCTATTGGCATGTTTCTTCTGTGTGAGGAGGACGATGAGAAGACACCTTAGAGGTAGAAGTGGAACAGCGGACGATGAGCACCTTAGAGGTAGAAGTGGAACAGGATAAACGTCTGGAGAGCAGTTGCGAATTAGGTAGATGCTTGGTTGTTTGCGGCTGGCTTCGGCTATTCGAAATTAAAAAAGACTGTACCATCAAACTGTGAATGTGAAAATGACAAGGCCTGATGGCATAGTACACAGGGAACTGAGGGTGCTGGATCAAGCGATCGTTAACAGCTTGGTGGGAAAATCACGCACCCCAAAGAAAAACAAAACCGTTTCCATTGCTGCGGCGACAAATATTACGTTTGATTTTGAGGACATCAATCGCTTCAGGGTGGTGTCAGCTAGTTCTAGAACTGAACTACACCCAAGGAACAGAGGAACATTTAGGAAATTTAGGTATCAACGCAGTTTGCATGATTCTGGGTGAAATCACTAAGCCAGCTTATTATCTCAAAAAAGCAGACATTTGATCGATGCTGGTTCTACAATCTCATAATTGTACTGATGTCCAGACTCGAATTTCGAATGCTCTGGTAGTCAGTGTCAGACACACCACAACGATCTGAAGTTTTCTCACCGGCAGAGGAGGAAGACAAATTTCGAATGCTTCTGCAGTTCCCGCTCCAACACCAAGAGGCAAACCTCGCTCCGTCGATCGGCCATTTTACCAGGGTGAGATTTCTCCCGGTATTGTCTCCAATTCAGAATGCTGACCTTCAACCGATTGTTGCCCGTCCATGTCGTAACGGCATAGATTACTGAAGGTCTACCGTGTTGAGAAATTGAGTCCACCCGGTTTATGGGTGCCGCACAACTGATGAGTAGCACGATGGCTAAACACTATTAGGTTACACGGAGATCGCACTTTCCTTCGATGTGCTTTGTAATTTAGAATGATTCACATGTTAAGTCCGGACGAAACTGATGTCAGAACGTTTCATCGGGGCCTGCACCTGATCACATAGGTGTTACAATAAAGGGAGCAATATTGGAATCTAGTGGCTTCCGAAATATGAACTCTTACCAGATTACTATGGGAGATGACAACTGGGAGGCAGCGAGAAGACACATAAATTTAAAAGATTTATAACGGTCAAGATTCTCGAAAGCACAAGGCTTACTTCTGCATCCGGTAACTGCGGGTTCGAAATATTGGACGGGACAACAATATCGTCGGCAGATCGAGGTGGGTCATTCGAAGTCAACGCTGTGTTTACGCACAACGGTGAGAGGGAGCCCATGGAGTTGAAGCTCGGAACGGTAGGATTTGGAAGCCTTGGGAGAAAAAG